ACATTTCCATTTTTGGAGTTAGAGAAGGATCTACAAGGCCAATAAAAAGTTGTGGGACTAGGTGTCTTGCACTATACACAAAACCTTCTTTTAAATCAACAAAGATAAATTTCATATGTCCTCGACTATTGATTCGCATTATTAATAATTTTAAAATGTGTTCGGAAAATCGATTCGCATAATTATAAAAAACTAAGATTCGCATTAATATGATTTGTTATTTAATTTGACGGTCACATACAATAGAGTTTTCCCGGTCCAGTAATGACGCGCAATTATTAAATATTAATATTAAGAATGTAAAATAATTAGAAATAAATTGTAATAATCAGACACTATCAATCTGTCATTTCCTTTTATTTCTTTATATGCTAAAATCGTAAATATTGTAAAAGGACAAAGTGAAGTTGATGACGATGAAACAAATGAAACAAATGAACCTGAGCTGATGATCATTAATATATAGCTATAAAAGCTCCGGAAACTATACTTAAATATGTACAGCAAAAAATATTGACATTTCTAATTACTTGAAAATCAAGAACAAGTGCAAACAAGAATGGAAGATTATTTTATAATGTCAACGTTTTAAGTGAATGAATTATTTTTTTTTTTAATTTTTTTACCAACTGTATTTTTATTATCATCATTATTATTTGCATTCATATTATTAAAAATAAAATTAATTTTTTACGTAACATGTATCCACATAATTTAATCAAAAATTCGATTTTTTACGGATATCTCGGTATCACGGATGACTCGGTATAGCGGATAAATTTCCTGGAACAAACATATCCGTTATACCGAGACCCACTGTGTATTCATTTTTAATTTAGAGAATTGTTATTCGCACTAGGGTGTTCAGGATTATCCATTTTTTTCTTGCAAATTATTACCTGATGCTTTTTTTTTTTCATAATTTTGGGGCAAATTTATTATAATAATCGCGACCAAACTTAATACGTATTCAGAAAAATTAAAATACATGAAATTTAATTTTTCTTTAAGTAGAGGTTGGCACCGCGCAAAAATTCTTTAACCGGTTAATTAACCGTTAAAATTAAGAGTTAACCAGTTAACCGATTAATTTAGTCACGTGGAATGTTTTAACTGGTAAATTCGATCGTTCATTACTTACAAAATAATCACGCGCCTGTTGAATTTTATTATTATACACTTAATAGATGCTAAATGATTACAGTCAAACCTCGCCACAGTGATTCATGGTTCCAGCCAAAAAATCCGTTATTATTATTATTATTATTATGACAAGAAGTCCGCAGCGGCAAAATTGGCAAATTTTTTTTAATAATACAAAGCTCTCTATACCGAACCCTCTGTCCATTATATGCATTTTTCTGCTTTTGTTCATTTTAGGGAGAAATTAATTATAAAAAATTGAATCGGAGACGGGCGACAAAAGGGAAATTCGTTATAGAGAAATTTACTTA